TCCTTCTTGGAACTCTTAAATCTCTTGGGCAGCATCTCTTCTCCTTCTGTGATTTGTGGCTGAATGTAATCCATTATATCACGCCACAAACACTGTGACGACACTAACATCCGTACTGAGTACCACGAATTCTTCTCAAAGAATCATTCCACAAGCTCGAATCCGAAATGGCACAATCAGTCCTAATAGAAAAGTTAGTAAAATAAAAAAAAATAATAATAATAAATCAAAGCAAATAAATAATTAAACTCAAACCTTTCAGATAACCATCACTTCTTCGATTCTTCCTGCGTGTATTCGTTCCAGAAGGGAAACAAACCCCCCCCCCCCTGCATTTCCAGTTGTGCCCTGAGCCAATATTGCTGACAATTTCATATTCTGGGTAATGCTGTCGGAGGGCCTTTTGCGCGAGTTGTGTCTGGTTGTCTCCAAAGATTCCTCGTATATCTGAAATTTAGTAGAGTCATTTCCCACCGGGTGTCCAAATTCTTCCAGAGTCTACTCATCTTCGCAATGTCTCAGTTGAGACATCATACGTCTCCTTGATTTTTATTTGCACTTTGGTAAGTAATCTTGTTTTGATCCAGGGTCGTTAAAAATGTGGTCTTTGTTCGAGAATGAGAGGTTGACAGTAGAACTGTGTTGCTTATTATTCCAGAATGTTCGAAATCACGGCAACGGTGCTATATAATATCTCGTGAAGATTAACTTCTATTTAACGGCATTATATTACAAACAACTTATCGTTTAACGTTTATAAATTTTAAACATACAGTAATTTGTTTTTTATTATCTTTATTTATAAGCAATTTGTTTTTCTTACTTTTCTTTTTCTTCACTTATATTTTCTTTTAACAAATCTGAGTAAATACAAAATTTATAGTCGACAAACACGCTGGATAATGTGCAGATATTGAAAACTTTGTGATGGGTACCCGCCGACTCTTTCACGCTCATTCATCATACATTACAAAGTTAATTATATAAATTTCACCATTCTCGTTGACAAAGGTATTTTCTTCAAAAAAAATCGAGTATACATTAGGGAAAGACCAAGAAGACGTTAAATAGTAAGATCTAAGAGAAGAAATAACAATCAACCAGTTTTATTAAACCCGATTTTCAAATCTGAAAAAAACGAGACCCGGTTTTAAGTTGCAACCGGTTTAAACCGAATTTAAATCGAATTACATCAAACCGGTTCCAACCACTAATCTCGTGATCCAGGTCCGCTGTAGCATCAAGTGTATTAGCAGCACTTGGTGAATTAAAACTATACCTTGATAGTTGATGCCCTTCAAGACCAAAGCTCAACTTTAAAACGAGACACTGCACTTAAAACCTTGTGACAACTTACAAGCAATACTTGCTTTGTAATGAGCCATATCAGAAATGCTTTCTATTCTGATGAATATTTAAAGACTGGGCAGTCGACGCGAAACTGTAAATTAATAGGGGAATTCTCGGTGCATTAGAACCTTAACGTCATTAAGTAAAATAATTTTACATTAATAAAAAACCTTCATTATTATTTAGATAACAACCGGCTCATCCGAAGATTCTTTATTTGATCCTAAAGCTATAAATAAATTTACTTAATGACGGATTAGGTCCTTATTCAGAGGATTATTACCTAACTCTCGTTATTAATGCGTTAATGAAAATTCTTCGAGATGCTATTTTGAATGTTTTGTCAAGGCTGTCATGTTTTTTCTCAAGGCGTAAAGCTTGAAATGCGTACCTTTCTTATCATAGGTACGTATTCATATTCATAATTTTCTTCATTAATTATGTTAACGTTATAGTTAACCAAATTTGCGCAATTTCTTTTCGATATAGATTCTTATGAGTCATGCATACTGAAAATATATTTCCAGCAATTACGTATCCTAGTTTCTATTGATAAACAGCTAGCATTCCGGGAACATCTCTCTGATATTTCTGCCGTTTTTGGAATTAAAGTTCTACAATTCAGATTACAATGATGATCCGGTCAACAAATCGCTATATCCTTTGAGTATTATTGCCTATAATGTTACAAATACATACATGCACTTGTAGTGTTTGGCACCAAGATTGAGGTATATATGCATCTCGCTTTTTAAGAATGAAATGTACCAGCAGTTCAAAATATTGATAAAATGTGAATTTTCGGATCATACACCTAGATAATTCACCCATTGGCACGTAAATTTGTAATGCTATATATGGATTTGAAGATTGATACCATGGACACTCTTGTCATTCAACTGGAATCAGATTCATTCAATGATAGATAAAGTAATATCATTTCTCTGCTTTTTGTAAAATTTGTCATTCTTTAAAAGTTTTCGAAATCAACGTATTCAACACTCTGATTACGAGATGCTTGTTTTGAACTTCTTAAAGGAGAACCATTACCTGTCAGCAAAGAAAGGTAAACATTCCTTATTCATTCAAAATACAACATTCTGAATATGTTCCTTTATATTAATTTTTAACAGGTCTCATGCTCTTGTGCATGTGCTAGTTTTGGCCGGTGTATACCATCAGCTCGCAAGAAATTATTTAATGCAGGATTTATATCTTGTTGGCCTGAATTATTTTATCGATATAAGGTAGTTTTAATTTAATGATTGTTATTTTATTTTTCATTGGTTTTCGATTAATGAACTTCTCTAATTTCTTTAATGTCTGCAATTGGAGCACTAAATATCCCTGCTGAAATTTTTTAAAGCATTTTAAGTTTGGTTGAATTTTATTGAATTTTCGAGCATTATGATAATTCTATTCCTATTGATATAAGAACGCTGAAAATTGTCAAGGCCCTTCATTACAAATAATTGAAATTCATAGGTGTTTATTATATTTCTTTTATTACTTTAACCATTATTTAGGTATGTCTAGTATTGATTTGATTAAATCTTTTTTTTTATATTTCTTATTTTCTTTGTCTTTCATATCTCTTAGGTTAAAACAGAATGATATGATTTTAGTGGTATGACAGTTCTGTAAGAGAGTATTATTTTATTGTTTATAAAAGGATAATTTCTCTGATTGTTTGATTTAGATATTAAAATTAGCATTGACATTAAATAAATGATATATAAAAAAACCAAAAATCATGGTCACGTCGTGAAAATGGTAGTCAATCAGTTGTTAATTAATCATTAACCCGCTATTAGAACTTTGCAACAATAATATAATGGGAAAAATAAAAGTAAATGTTATGTTACGTATGTTACGTTTACTTTCAAATAAGTCAGATTGAAGTGAAAGTTAAATGACCTCAAATGACCAGGCCATTCAGAGGTAATTTCAAAATGACCTGGTGCTGCTTTGACGAAACTGTTCAATTCTTTTTTGAGTTGCATGCATAAGTTTTTTTTGTTGATTTAATCTTGATTTTATTAAATTTTTTTTTACAAATTAATATCACGTGAAATATTTAAATTACATAAATAATTTTGGCCAGAATTATTGAGATCACATGATATAATTATTAAATGATCAGGTCATTGTTAAAATTCCATTTAAAGGCAATTTTATTAATTTTTTCTTTGACGATTTAGATTTCCTTCCCTTTAGCGATGATGATGGAAATAGCGTTGATAGTGATGATGATGGTGATGATAACACTGGTAGTGATGATTGTAGTGATAATGATAATAGCCATGACAGCGAAGTTGTTAAAATTTTGCGATTAATATGTGTATTTTACGATAGTGATGCAAGCAATTATTTTATAAAAATTCATTAATAAAATACTTTTTTTTTTGTTTATTTGAGCTTTATTTTATTATTTAAAATGTTATTACATTACATATAGTTTTAATGCGAAAATAATTAAATATTCAATGTGTTGCTTATTTTCGGGTATTATTTATTTTAAGAGTTGCTTATTTTTGTGGGTTGCTTATTTTCGGAGGAATACGGTATATCATCACCGGAGACAGATGAACCGAAAGACATAACATCAAGTAATAAGGATGGTTTAGAAGATCTTGAATTTAAATTTGACGCTTTAACAAAATCATCTGAACTTCTTCAATATTATGATGGCGAGGAATCAAATTTCGATGAAGCAATTGAAAAACTAGCTGAACTTGAAAAGAAGGAAGAGTTCATAGAACCATTCAAAGTTGATAGTACATCATTGGAAGAGATATCTCAGTTAGCTCCTGAGCCTGGTGTTGAATCCAAGCCCGAAGAGGTCTTGCAGCAGAAACCTACTAGCGGAGAAAATGATGTTATAAATGAAAGTAACAATTTAACAAATATGGCTACAGGTTTCGGATCAATTGGTTTTGGAGAACCTTTAAGCTTACCTAGTCCAACTAATTCACTAACATTTGGGTTAAGTACATCTAATGCACAGAAAAAGGACCTTGGCTCAACACCTTTTGGCTTAACAATATCTTCCTCTTTAAACTTTGGAACAGCAGCACCTGTCCCTTCGGTATATAGGGGAGAAATACCAAATGCATTTAATATCGGTAGCATTCCACTAGCACTTTCCGCAACACCTTCAAATGTTATTAATGCATTTAGTCAACCACAACCACCTCAATTACCTTAATGCTTTTGCACAACCTGCATTTGGACAATCAGGATTTCAATCGCCTGCTTTCGGACAACCATCATTTGGTGTACCGGGGTTTGGAACACCATCTCATTTTCCGAAACCGGCTGCACTTAATGCTCCAAGTGGTGGTGGTTTAGCTCGTTACTCAAGGTATTTTGAAAAAATATATATTTCTTTTACCTTTAATTCGCATTGTTGCTTGAATTAATGTATCTATTTATAAATAATAATACTACTGGTTTCGGAGTGAGTGTTGGCGGCTTTGGAAGTACATCGGTTACTCCAGCACCTCTTACATATGATATACATACTGTTTTTCTCTTTTTTTTTTTATTTTTTTATTTTTTGATTTTTTTTTATTTAAGCATTTTTTTTTTTTTTTTACAAGTAAACCGCCTAGCACCACATCAAGTCCAATATGGAGTTCATTTCGTGGTTAAACTATGGTATTAGTCCAGGAAATCAACGCATCACAAAGAATATATATAATCTTGAAGTTTATTAATATAGATTAAATATATATACATATTACACGAATAAATATCATAAAATTATATAATATTGTTTCTTAATTTTCCTAATTATGTGAAGGTTGGTGAGTTAGTATTAGGATGTGAACGAGGAATTTTTTTTTTAATTTTATTTAAATATCAAAAAAATAAATATTTGCACCAATAATCAACTTGACTCTTAAACTTTCAGAAACTATGTATATAACGTTATTTCGTTTAAAATGTACATGTATAAACGTGATTTTTTTTTTTTCATTTTAGATTAAAATATATTTATTTCAATTTTTCATAACAGTTTCTTTTAGGCGGTTTTATTAACTCGCATCAAAATGATTTAACAACCTAAAATTCTAATAATTAATTCAATAAGTAGCTCTGTATTAGCCAACATATGGCCAATAAGATCGTTGAAGACCAGAAATTTTAATGTAATGAATGGTTCAGATTCTTTTGTATTATAAAGTAAAATGCTGTTTTAAATTCAAAGATTGAATTATCGCAGCCTCCATATCTACCGAAAGTAGAGCTTGCAATTTGTTTTGTTTTCAACGAATTCTGTATATTCATCAAATGTTTTAAATTGTAAGTCAATATTTAATTTTAATAATTTGTAAATTCTTGAATTGAATTTTAAAACAACGAATTGATCAAATTTCCGACACGTTGCTATCTAAAAAAGGCATAATCTCAATTTTTTAATTCTTGAATTATTAATTTCAAAAATTCATACACATACTTGGAACAATTTCTATGTTACAGTATATGGGAAAGTTTCTAAACATATTGATCGCGTTTCAGTACAAATCTTGTCAAAAAACCCGAATTAATTCCGTTTAGATGTATTTTTAAATCATAAACAACAATTTATATCCTTTGCTAACTTCAAAAATTTCTTTTGAATATAAGAAATGGATTTCGTTATCCCGATAAAAAATTTTAATATATTTTCGGACTTTAACATGTCAAATTGAAGGTAATATTCGTTAGAATCTATTGATTAAGTTAAATTCT